GAATTCCTGGATTATACAGAGGTTTTGGCACAGTAGTCACTGGTGCCATTCCTACTAGGATTATATTCCTTACTGCTTTAGAGACCACAAAAGCGGCTACTTTCAGGTTGGTTGAGCCATTCAAATTGTCCAAACCGACACAGGCAGCCATAGCAAATGGAGTTGCCGGAATGGCAGCAGCAGTTTGTTCTCAGGCCGTATTTGTTCCGATTGATGTGGTATGTCAACCATGTCTTATTTGAGATTTATTTTTTATCTTTCGTATAATGTGAAAGTTATCATTTGTTGGGTGTGGTGTGTAAATAAAGAAAACGAAACACAAAAGGGTGCAATAGAATTTTTAAATTTTTTTAAGGCATAACAACATTTAGTTGTTCAAGTTCTCATCGGCTTCCTACTGAGAATTTTCATGTCATACTTGGAAGGCAGATATCTGTATTTTGGAAATTCCTTTCACTGGAAGTGATTTACACTTATTTTCTTCCCAATTTCACTATAAGTTGTGGTTTAAGTTGAATTAACTCCAAAATTGAACAATTTTCAACTGGAAAGAGCATCTTTATATTGGAATGCATTTTTTAACATTTTGTTCCTTCTTGATACTAAGTCATTGGGCACTTCTTATTTTACTTTTGGTGTATTATTGTTTCTGCTTAAGAACATTTATGGATGCTACAATCTCCATTTTGATCAGGTTAGCCAAAAATTGATGGTGCAAGGATATTCAGGCCATGCGACCTATAATGGGGGACTAGACGTTGCTCGCAAGGTTTTGAAGGTGGATGGCATTCGGGGACTATACAGGGGGTTTGGTCTATCAGTCCTGACTTATTCCCCATCTAGTGCTGTATGGTGGGCAAGTTATGGTTCAAGCCAACGCTTGATCTGGAGGTAATGCATGTTTTTTTGAACAAGAGGTAATGCATGTTTGCTCAATTTGATTTAGTGGTTGATGCGTCATGGGAGATCATTAAATTTAGAACTCTGGTCCAACAAGTGATTGTTCCTTGTTTAGTTAATATTCTTAACCCCTCTGTGGACTTTGTTTTATAATTTAGAAAATTTTCTATTGTAAACCCCTGAGTTGGTTATCCTCAATGAAAGCCATGTCTGTCCGCAACTAGTGTTCACTACGCCTAATGATCTGAAGATTTCTTACTTTCCTGTAATATTGCCTTTATGTGAAGGCAATACTTGAGTGGTCAAGGTATATAAGGGAGTTCTTTATTTAAGGGAGGTCCACTCTTTTTGTTAGCTAGAGATTGGTTGGCGGTGTGTGCTTTGTAAGCTTTTGCTTGTGTTTAGTCGGTTAGGGACTTTTTTCTGTTGTCTTTTCATTGTTTTGTATTTAGAGGATGCCTCATCCTCTTCCCTCCTTTTTCAGTTTTATCAATAAAGCTTTTGTTGTTGATCAAAAAAATACTTGAGTGGTCAAGGTATATAAGTTGTGTTTTTCTTGGATTACGTCATAATGAGGAATGGGTCATTTTTAAATGCATTATATATTTTTCATCATCCATTTTGGTTCTCCATTCACGTGATATAATATATATATTTTTTAATTTAAAATTTTCCAGCATGATTTTCTTTTTGGCAGGTTCTTAGGTCATGGTAGTACTGAGCATGAGGAATCTGCTGCTAGCCTGTGGACGATAGTGTCTGTTCAAGCTGCTGGAGGGATATTTGCTGGTGCCACAGCATCCTGCATCACAACGCCATTGGACACTATTAAGACTCGCTTACAGGTACACGTAGTTGGCTTCAATTTTTTTCCTTTCTCTTGTCAGTTCTGATACTTTATGATGAAGTAGTGATTATTTATTTATTTTTGGGTGCTATTAGGACAGTGAATTTTTCATTTTTTTTTTTTTTTTTGGTTCATGATGTGTTCTTGAGTTACACATTTTTTAGTGAAAGAAAGTTGAGCGATTGTCATGCACATAATAGTTAACACTCTAAGCTTGTTACATTCAAAATTATTAGAAATACCCAACTCGTGCATCTGTTTCAATTCCTTGTTAATACAATTGGTAGGTGTTCCAGAAAAGACCTCAGGGTTTTCACATGATTTTACAGCTTGCTGCTTGCACTACTATGTTCGAGCAAATAGATTCTTTTGTTGATTTATCCGTTAAACTAGTTGTTTTTGCAATATAGGTCATGGGACCCGAAAAGAAACTTACTGTAAGAGAAGTTGTTAAAGGATTGGTTGCGGATGATGGCTGGAAAGGTTTATACAGAGGACTCGGTCCAAGGTTTTTCACTATGTCAGCATGGGGAACCTCGATGATACTTTCCTATGAATATTTGAGTAGGGACTCTTCTTTCACAGTGTTATTATATAGAATCATATTTTGTTGTTATTATTATGCAGAATGATGAGATTGCTAAAACATTTGTGGATTTGATCATTGTGAATTATTGGATTGAAAAGTTTAAACCTATTTACCCTTTGTTCTCTGCTTATAATCATGCTCAATCAATTTGATTAATTGTGCTTATTCTTCTTTTTTTGTACAGAACGCTTGTGTGTGAAAGATCAATAGATTTACCCTTGAACAACAGAGAATTGGTTTGCAGTTAACTGGGATTTCATATGTTAAAGAAGATAGTTTTGCTCGGTATTTACAGGAATGCTTACGCGGGCGTCCACACAGATAAACAGTGTCAACAAATTGTAACCCTTGTTAAATTGACTGGGTAGTGACCTTCATACCTATTAAAACTGGATTACTTCCCGATTTCCTGGAAGGCCTTGTAAGATCAATCTATAATTCTTTTTAGCTCATTTCTTAGTGCATTCTTGGGCTATAATTGAACTGATTTGTATCTGTAATTTGTGTATTCTTAAATCATAGAATTTCATTTTATATTCCTCTGTTGTGTTCCCCTTTTGGTTGTTTTCTGTTTCATAGATTACATCGCCCAGGATAATGATTGTTGGTTGATACAAGGTTAACGTATTAAATGAGGGAGAGACCGTAGAACAAATGATGATATGCTGGTTCAAAATTGTAATATAGACGCTCAGTTCATTCACAAGTTTTGGTACGAAGAGACTTTAGCAGATTAGTTAGTTAGCACTTGAAATGAGAACTTCCCAATTGGAAGGAAAAAGAGAAGGAAAATAAAAGTCCCGAATAACTTTCTTAGGATGTGAAAATATTTTCGTATACCTTCAGTTACAGAGAGTATGCTGGAGAGACACTAGTGAGTCTAATGTCTTGTTGGCTTTTCCAGAACAGCAGAGAAAAACATCTCATCACCATCTTTATCAGTCTTCGGCACCACCCTCCACTGCAGCTTTTGATAGCCAAGTCTGGTGAACTCATTCAAGTACAGATTCATATCTTCCTTCTTACAAAAGAACCGGTCAACCCAGAGAATACCTTTAGGCTGGAGCACACGGTCCCAATCAAACAGGACAAACTGAAGGAGTTCAATTCCAATCCATCCATCCAATCCAAGAACAGAGTAGAATGAACAATGTCGAGTGTGTTGTCAAAGAAAGGCAGTCTTGAGCCAACTGAGACGTACAGAGGAAGAAGTCCTCTCAGTGCTGTCACCTCATAAAAAGATGCCCCTAAATTCAGCGTGGCTGAAGCAATGGTAACATTTTTCTCACTCATAATTGCAGCAAATGTGCCAGTTGTTGGGCTGAAATCCAGCCCAACGCGGATATCCCGTCTTTAGACTCAAAACCTCATCGATTGTGAACTCTGCCAAGAGAGACTCATTGTTTGGCACTTCCCATCCTCGCCTTGAAAGATCGAAGCAATCATAGCATTTGTAGAAGCCTCTTCTGTCAATTGTTTCATTTGAAACAAGACAGGTAAAGTCTTTGCATTTGTAGTGGTTCCATAAAATGTTGACATCACTAGGTTGAGTCCAGAGAGGTTTTTCACAGGAAGCAGCGTGTTGTAGTGTTGAGGTGATCTTGAGAAGCACCTTCTTCAGGGTATTGGCTCACAACCACTAACTACAAGCTTCTGAGCCAGGTCCCAATCATCTTGTAGGTCATGAACCGGTCTGTGTTTGAGGCCATACCGACACAACCTAGTCCGATAGATGGGTTAATCGCTTCCAGCCCAAGAAAAGTCTTCTTCCCATTAATCCTGTTTGGTTTGGGTGAAATGTAACTGTGAAGCTCAGCAGAGTTGAAAGCCTTTCCAGGTACTGATCCTTCTTCAACTTCATGTTCTTCGGGTTCACTGAGGTCTTCCTCTACATTGCTCGTTTCATTCCCTGCTATTAGGAGCATTGCTGTACAAACCTGATAGTCTCTGCTAGCTTGTCTATCGATATATCGATGGTGAGAACTTGATCTGAAAATTTCAATATTGCTTTTGGTTCTGAGGTTTCAGAATGTAGCTGTTCTAACAGAACTCCCAATTGGGTCTGCAAATGAGAGATCTGGTTGTGAAGGGAATAAGGTAAACCGGTTGGAAATCTGAGTTGTTGTGGGCAGAGTTGAGTATGAGATGAGGGTAAGAAACGCTGGAAGTGAAGATTATGATTGTCAGGAGGGTGATATAGAGAGGACATAACAGTGCAAGAACAGAGCCTCCTGGAAGGCATTTTGAGGGCTTGGAGTTGCTTTGTTTCTGCATTCCTAAGACAGGTTTTTCTGTGCCTTTTGCTTCTTCTTCCTCTCAGATCATTCTCATTTGGATTTTTGATCAATTAATTCAGCTGTTGACCCTAGGAACTAGGAAATGAGTTCAGACTCTCTCTCTCATTGATTTCATGTTTGATCATCCTTAGATGCCTTTTTTTCGTTGTTTACAACATTTTTTTGCCTAGGAGACGAGCAAAACTCGAAGTAAAAGCATCTTTGATCTTCCAATTTCAAATTAATGTTTAAAATTGGTCTAGTTTAATTCCTTTGTTGGAGTAAGTTCAATTTATTTTATTTATTTTATTTTTTATTTTTTTAAGAACTGGTAGGAGAGAAATAAATAAAGGAAATTTACATTTACAATAGTAATACTCAAATCTCGTTTAGCACGGAGTGCCTCATTCACTAGCTAGCAAGAGATCAATTTCAGTCGATAGGCCATGCAGCTAAATTTATTCATTGCAATACAATATTTAGTAGAATTAAAACCAAAATATATCAACCTTTTACAGATTAAAAGAAAACTAAATCAAACCAAGAACTTTCGCAAATCTATCTTGCGCTAATCCATCTTAATTTTTGTTATGCCCAAAAATCTTAACCCCACATGTATTGAAGTTGATCTCACTGTCCATTTGGATTCATAATTTCAGAGAAAACAACAGTCTGATGAGAACCAAAACTGTTACCACTCCTTGCACCACTCTCAGCTGTTGATGTCCCGGTCCCGTTGCTCTGAGACCCCGAAAACAACATATCATTGTCATCATCGGTTGTCGTCTTTCTCGCTTGAAGCAGAGGATCCGAGGGACTCATAAACCCATCTTCACCGTTGATGTTCATCTCGGCAATCTCTTGAAGCTGCAATGCAAATTCCAGGCTCCAAATCATATCACCGTTGCTGGCCGTTCGATCCCAATATCACATAGGCAGCTTTCGAATATCTCCCCAAACTTCTTTACATAGTCCGGCACAACAATCTGATCACCGGTCCCTTGTCACCAACATTTCCGGCCCCACTCAGCCAAGCTCACTTGCTCCTTTTCTAGCCCTGTCACAATTGCGGACCTCCCACATGACACTTCCAATAACACCCCTCCAAAAGAGTACACATCAGACTCTTTGGTCAATTGTTGTCGTCGATAATATTCTATCCACGTACTTGAAACTACCCTTTACGGCAGTGCTGACGTGACTCTGGCCCACATTAGTGGGGCTAATTTTCGACAATCAAAGTTTGAAAATTTGGCCACCCATTTTTCATCCAATAGTATGTTGGTAGACTTGACGTCGCGGTGAATGATCATGTGCTTTGCTCCTGTATGGAGGTAATGGAGCCCATGAGCAGCACCAAAGCAGATCTCGAGGCGTTGCTTCCACAAGAGAAGCAGATTGTCTGATTTGTAGAAATGATCACGAGGGTACCATTGGCCATGTAATCATACACTAAGATCATCTCACCATTATCGTCGCAGTAACCGATCAGAGCCACTAGATGGTGGTGGCTTAACTTGGATAGCATTTCGATCTCCGTTCGAAACTCACGGGCCCCTTGGCTTGATGATGGATGCAGCCGCTTGATTGCAACAATGGATGTGCCGTTATCGATGTACCCTTTGTGCACATAACCAAATCCTCTAGTGCCGATCACAAAATCCTTTTTGAAGTCGAGCATAGCAGATTTGAGTTCTGCTAGCGAGAATTGTCGGTAGAGATTAGACGGTAACGTTGAAGCGTTAGTCTTCCTGGACTTTGACGTGTGCGAAATCGAAAATTGGACCCACGATGACTTGACCACGCTTGCACCGGAGTCTCTCACCCTCCTCCGTCGCCGGAAAATCAAGAAACCAATCACTGAAATCAAGAATACTCCGCCGATTACACCCCCAACGACGGTGACGACCAACGACGACAACGTTTTTCTGTTTGTCCGGTAGCTTTGGATACGGTGTCGGCGGTGCAGGAACCATATCGTATACAGGATTGGGCCTGGCGAGACTACCGTCCGATTGATTCAATTTGAAGATCTCTAAACCGTTCAAGATTGCATCAGCGTAACTGGGCTTGGAGTGCATTTTCGGGTGCATCGTGAGCCACAAATCCACGTTACTCCGGAGACCATTGACGACTGGTACTGAAAGAACATAATCTTTGAAAACAGCAATTCCGCGACCCCATTCAAGTGTATAACATCAACCTCTTGATCAGCCGTCTGATTATTCATATACACCGAAAATATCCTCTCATTTTCTCTGGTTACCTCTAGTTGAAACTCGCAAAAATGAAGCCTAGCCAGGTACCAGAACCCAGAATCAACGGCCAAGATCCAAGTCAAATTGTACTGCAAGTTTATATGTGGGTCCTTTCCCACGGTCCGAGCCGTAGTGTACACAGTCGCCGGAGCAGTGTAATTCGGTGTGTCGTTAGTGTAACGAATTGGGACGTCAAGGTGAGGTGACAAACCAAAGGCCGCGCCGTATATATACCCGTCATCTGGATCCCACGTCCAGTATATGCCAGTATCTTGATTCACAGACAACTCTTTGCCACTGACGTTTAACCGGTACAGAGTTTCAAGAGCAGTGTCGTTATCGATATAAAAATATGAAAAATGGCTGGTAGCTCGAAATGTGTGGCCCGATTTTGGGTCGAATGGCAAAACGACGTTGTTCGTTTTGCCATTCTTTTTTTTTTTTTTTTCTCCTTTTCTTTCTTCCTTTTCTTCTTCTTCTTCGTTGAAACCAGAAGAAGAACAGAGGGGAAGAGGAGAGAGGGAGCCTCCGCCGCCTCCGCCCGCCGTCCTCGTCGCGAGGAGCTCGTCGCCTCCGCCGCCTTCGCCCGTCGCAGCCCCGACTCCTCCTCCGGCCATTTTTATGGCCCCCTCCCCTCCTTCCTCCTTCCTCCTTCCTCCTCCTCCTCCTCCTCCTCCCTCCTCCTTCTCCTGAGCTCGCAGCTCGTCGGCTCCGCCCGATCGTGCCTCCGCCCCCCTCCTCCGCCTCCAGCCCTAATAATTGGGCCCCCTCCAGTCCTTCTCCTCCTCCTCCCTCCTCCCTCCCTCCTCCTCCTCCTCCTCCTCTTTCTTCTTCCCCCTAATTTCGAGCCAAATTCGAGCCCCTATATTCGAGCTACCAACCGGGGTTGTAAAAATATTGTTGATCGAGAGCTAGCAAAAGGGATACATCGCCTTGTTATACCCACAGTGGTGTGTAAATTAAATGTATAATTAAAATAAATATGTCATGTCTTAAAATTTAGATAATTAAATATTATATTAAGATTAAATTTCAATCACTATTTCATCATCTAAATTCTAAGAGTGAAACGTTTTTGTCTCCATAAAATTTAAGTAAATATCCATGCTCAAAAGATTACAAGGGAAAAAAAAACTAACAAAATGTTAACCAAATCATCCACCATAATTTCATAACTATCCAATACCTCCAACATTAAAATAACAATAAATAGTCAAAACAATTTAAATAATGTAAAGTCGAAAAATAACCCACAATATCAAATTGTCAAAATACAAGGTTATAAAAAGAATAATAAATACACAAACTAATATCAATCTCTAAACTCTAAATTCCAAAAAACAAAAGAATTCCAAATGACATGTCCAACAACTAGTCATTTCTCGTCACCATCGTAATCCCAACTAATTCTACAAAGGAAGCTCGGCTGCGCTCAAATAGAACGCACCCGAGTTGCCAAGAGACAAAACGGGTCAGTATACAGGTTTACTGGTATGAGTACACGATTTTTTTTTTTTTTTTTGATCGACAAATGTTAGTTGTTAGTTGTTAGATTAGCACTCATGGGAGAAAATTTCCCCACCCTTGGCGAAGCACCTAAGTGCTTGCACTTCCTTAATTCAATCCCCTTAAGGGGAATTGAACCTATGACTTTCTTGGGACTAAGTCCTAAGGAAGGCATAGTGGCCAACATATCCACCAGACACAAACCCTAAGGAAGGCATAGTACAAGATTTAACACTCACATATCCACCAGATACAAACAAAAGTACATTTAATTATTGTTACTGGACAAGACAAATAGTTCCACTCGCATTGAGACGAAGGAATAGTTTTCCGAGATACAGTGACATTTAGATTTTTGCCCGTACACAACTAAATATAAATTAAGTACAAAATAAAAAAAATAAAAATAAAAATATGGTGGGATAGCCCTGCATAAAAAGTTAGTAAGACTTGCCATTCTACAAAAAAATAACGTTAGTATAATTTAATTATAAGTAACTTGCTGAAGAATTATAACAGATGTACCGTTTTATGCTTAAATCATTCGAATTGATCAAAACTCAAAGAACAAAAGTTGTACAGAATTAAATTTCCTAAAAGGTATAGCGAACGAATTTAGTAGAAACTGAACAGGTTGAGAGAAAAACTTGATAATAGGACCTAAACGGAATTCAATCGAAAAATCTGAAACTAAAAACAAAAGGAAATTGCCCTAAGATGATTTTTTTCGGAAAAGCTCAAAACATGAAAAGTGTTCAGAACAATATTTTACTTCAGTTTACGTGTAACCAATAAAAATGAGCTCGTTTTGTGGGTTAAAACAGCATCTAAAATCTGCATTGCTAAAATGAACAAAAACTGTTGTAACTAAGATCATCTTATTACAAGTTCTAATCGATCTTTTTAATAAAAATTTAAAATATAAAAGTTGTCTAGAATTACATATACATACATCTGCCCAAATTTCATAATTTATCAAGGTCGTTTACTATTTTTCAAGATGTACAAATCAATACAATTCACACTATACTAATAAACTCATATTTAATTATTTGTACCTTAACTCCACCACTTCGGCCCTTCACTTCTGGCCTATGCAGATATCCCACGTGCCTCCCGTATATCTAACATCGCTCTGAAGTCAAACTTGCACAGGAATATCGTCCCGAGTTTGACCCACACTCCCCAGATGGTTAGCATATACGTATGCGCGTAAATCAAAGCACTTGTCTACTCCTGAGAACGAGACAACAATATATATATACACACAATCTTTCATCTACTCATGAAAACAAACATAACAATGCCAAGCCTAAGGCATTCAAATAAAACTCATAATCCTCACCTTTTTTTTATACACTCCGCTCTTTCTCACCAACACTCAAATAAAACAACAATCCATGAAGTCATGGTGGAGTGTAAGGTATTTATCTATAGGTTCCTAATTTATTTTAATTTCATATATCCATGAGTGTGATTACACTCATATAATAAATACATATAAAAACTCTAAACCTTACATACACAACTAATCAAAATAATTAAAATCAATCAATCATCTACATGCAAATACAAAATCAAATCAACATCAAATAAATAAAAATAAACAAATAAAAAATAACGAATTAAACATAAATCAAGGGAAGTGGGTTTTGCACTCATAATATTTTTTTGAAGATCAAGAAAATATATAGAGAATTGATAAAGCTACCAAAATAAAACCCCAATCTCTTTTTCCTTTTTCTCCATCTCACCTCTCTTTTCACTCTTTTTCTCTGCTGCACTCACACAATCCCTCTCTTGGCTGCACTTACACAATCCCTCTCTTGGCTGCACTCACACAATCCCTCTCTCGGCTGCACTAACTCTCTCTCTCTCTCTCGGCCTCTCTCTCGGCTGCCACAGTGTCATGACCCAAACAACCGCCTCTCTGGATTAGAGTCACAACCGGCCAGTAATCAAGAGATTACCTATAACCTCAATCAAATCAATTCAAAGCTAACAACAGGGGGCCAAATTGCAGAAGTAAAATTTGCAAAGATTGTCCAATGAGTTGTACATACATGGCTTAACCAAAACATTCTCATATTCATATAATAACTCACACCATACAAACATTCATATTATGTATGTATTACATACGTCCAGGATCATTCAGTAGTTAGTATTAACAAAACCAAGGTTGTACAAAATTGGTCATACGTGACCACAAAAGATCAAAAGGACAAGTAAAACAAAAGTAAGGCCTCTTGTGTGAGGCGACCTTGGTTGACCTCTCAAAATTTGGTTTCTCATTGCTCATTGGGGTTGGGGCTGGAGCTGGACATCCCGCTGCTCACCTATATACATAATGTGGGGAGGTGATTTGGAAATACCCTTCGGATCTTAGGGGGAGCTCGTGATCCTTAGCTAGTCACCTGAAAAAGAATGAACACTCCGGTCGGAGGTGTCGGAATTAGCACTTCGACGGATAAGTCAGTATTCACTCTCTTGGTTGCTTATGCCTTAAGTTATACTTACTTGTTCTCACATACCTCTCTTTGGTTGTTATTCTTCTATTTATATATGATCCTGGCCCTTAGGGTAGGGCCCTACTCTTAATCCGCCATATAACTATTTACTCGGCTTCTCACTTAACTAGTTATGCGGCCGATTAGGATACCTCTGGATTTGTACAAGATTGGGCCGAATACAATGTATATACCTCGACTCTCCAAGTTCAATTATTCGGCCTCTTTGCACCCTCTAATATTCGGCCCCCACACATAAATATAAACAGTGAGCTAACGCCTAGTGAATAATACCAAAACAAAGGAGTTCTTGAACAAAATTCTTATAATCACAATTCACTATTACGCTTGATAGTGGATGTTAAAGCAGAACGACCTTAGGTCCTTTCTATCATATCCAAACACAAATTGACCTTGGGTCTATGTAGCATACAGAACGACATTGGGTCCATCATAGGCAAAACAACCTTGGGTCCAACTTACATACAGAATGACCTTGGGTCCAATTCATATACACATTTATGCGCGCACATTTAGATCCATGGTTATATACATATTCATTCCCAAACGACTTTAGTTCCATTCAAGTCCTTATTCCGAACGGCCTTCGGTCCATTTAACAATTGTACAAAATAGCCTTAGGCCCAATCCACATCCCTACTGGATATACTGAACAACCTTAGGCCCATTTCATACTCATACGTCAATCACTTCACATATTTCATTTCGAATTAAGTGATTAGAATACATAATCATACTATCACTTCAAAGGTTTAGAACCTTACCACATAGGCATCATTTAGAAGATAATGTATATGCAAAAATATCTTTGCTAAGATATTACTTACAGTGTTCTTGTGCTTGATTCGTCCTTGCACTTAACCCTACGTAATTCATAACACATTGGGTCATAATACAATTCAATCCATTCTTTAGTTTGCTTAATATTCTTAGGCTTCTTTCATGTCCTTTAATTTATTTAGGATGTTCAATGTGTGCCTAAGAATACTCAGAAATGGAAGAGAACGGAAATTGGAACATAATATAACTTTTCAAAAGTTTCTGAAACAAGGCCGTCCACTTGAGCGCAACTTTTCTTACTCGAGCGGACCCCTTTGGTTTGCAAAAGTACTTGTTGCCTCACTTTTGCGCTCGAGCGTGACTTTGGTCGTTCGAGCCAAGAGTCAAAACATGTGAGTGGGCGCTTGAGCACAATTCTTCTCACTTGAGCGGACATCAATGTCTGCAAAACTTCTGGGAGCTTGATTCTTACGCTCGAGCAGCACTTTCCTCGCTAGAGCAGACATGACGAATTCTGGAATTTCCAGAATTGTGTTTGAGGTTCAAAACTTGATTCCAACTTGTTTTTCTTGCATGTTAAGTTCCATATATTTGGCAAATGACTTCTAACATGA